TTTACAGTAGATTTGTTTAACTGGAGAATCTAAATCTGATGGATGGCAGTGGTTCGTATCTTGTACATAATAAAGCCAGTTTCAAAGGGTGTCCATTTTTAATGACTAGTGAGCGTTAGGGCATGACTCAGAGTTGTGTCCAACACCTTTGACAGGTTTCATCTTCATTCCTTTGTCAAGTCTTGAGCTCTATTAGGTTTATATCTGTTCAGGTTTTTTAAATATCACTGTTTTTTAAATCAAATTAATTGACAATTTTTGGTCAAACTGTTAGAATAATTGAACATTTGTTCATTTTTTTTTATTTTGTGAAATTGAAAGAACATTTGGAAGTAACTAAATGGAGACCATGAAGAAAATACTTTATTTCCACAATTAATATTTTTTGATTTTTTCCTAGAACTGTGACTCATGTAAAATAGGAAAGTCCCATTTAAAAAACAAATTATCTGACTAAGTAAATAAGCAGAACTATATATGCCAATGTGGCAAACAGTAACATTGAGGTCCGTTTATTAGCACTTCCTGTTTACTCAACACTGTGATCATGCATTAGCTGTTACTCCTGTGACTCTCCCTTCGAGTGCACTTTAACCCATCGAGGACTCTTTTCTTTTAGGATGAAGTCTGCTATTTCACGTCAGCAGAGTGTTCTTCTCTTTATTCCTACTTGAACTTTGCTTGAGTGAACTGAAAGAGCGTTGACCCTTCTGCCTTTGGCACTTTGTGAGTGCGTGTGCGTTCTCTTTTATTTTACTAGCCCTTTGGGTTTTCCAGTAGTAACTCATTTTTAAAGGATGGAGTAAGAACCAAAGCCGTAACTAACTCACTGTAACAAATCTAGCTTGTTCTGGATTTTGTCGAACCCTCTAATGAATTTCTCATGTTATTTATTTGCTGCGTTTTATAAATATTATTTTTTCTCTCTGTTCACTTTGGCCCCTGTTCTCCTGTGTCTGCCTGACATCACTGTGCGCTGACATGAGTGAAGTAAACCAACCACAAGAATCTACATTGAGCTCTACAGGAAACACATAAGCACAGACAGAGGGCCCATTCTTACACAGAGTGGGCAGGGTGCTGTGACGCTGTGACCAAAACACACACTGTGTAACAGACCGAGGGGAGGAGGAGAAAAAGAGGTGGGGGAGCAGGAGTGGGAGGAGGGCAGGAAACAAGGGTAGTGAGGGAAACAGGAACGGAAAGTGAAGACTTGTCAAGATGTTTGGGTGAAGGGGACGAGCGCACGGCTCAGGAGCCAGACACCAAAACAGAAACAGCAGAAGTTTGAGTAGCTGACTGGATTAGACATGAGAGGAGACCTGACCTGCAACATCACAAGTGCCTGCAGGGTAAGGACTAACTTTCACAGAGATCTTTAATGCCAGAAAGTTAAACCACTTAAAACTGTAGTGACTACCTAATAGTGATGACTGTGGTGTGATATCACTCACTCTGTGAACGTCTAGTTATGACAGAGGGTGGTGGTCATAGAATTCTTGAAATGTTATAGAGTTAGTACTGTAGTAGTACTATGTGTCAGTGTACATTTGAGCTCAACTTTTTTGGCTCTTGTATAAAAACTTTATATTCCACTGTATTTCTGGATGTAGCTGTGTGTTAATCTGAAGTTTGACACTAGCAGCTGTGACATCTCCATTTGGTGCATAACTTCCTGTTGCTCTGTTCAGTGGAGCTCATCATCTTATCATTACCGGCACATATTAGCCTCAGTTACTGATAAATGTGAAGTTGAACTTGTCCTCCTACTGCCCTGACAGTAGGAATGTTTGTGTGAGTCAGTCAGGACTGAACACGTCTGAACTGTGACGGACTTGCACTTTTCAGCTCAATTTAAAGAACCGCAATCCTCCCAATTATATCCAACAAGGTGAAACAGTCAAAAGGAGTAGTGTAAGATGTTGAAATGTGACCAAACAAACTTGTGTCTTACTGAACAAGCACCCCTGCCTGATGGTCTGCTCTGAACATGTGCTGGGGGCAAGTCATTAAAGATTTCTGCCATGCCTTCTGTTTCAACTTTGTATTTTAGGTCACAAATGTCCCTGAAAAGCAGCAGGAGATCATTGAGTGCAATCATAACATTTTTTTCACTTCCTGGCTTTGTGTGGCCCAGAAATGGCCTTTTCCTGCAAATGAATGGCTCCAGGAGAGCACAATGTCTCGAGAAAGTAAAGTACCCAGTGAGAGTCTTTGAAATGCATCAGCGTAGGACATATGAAGGGAGGAAATATTTTGACCGCTTGAGCGCTATTTTGAGTGTAGCGGGAAACCACGTATATAAAATATGTCATTCATCTAAGCATTATGTCTTGATGACAAAGGCTTGTTGTTCTTTGCTGTTTACAAAAAAAATGATATTTAGACAAATGTACAGGTGTGATCTTATGGAGGAGATTGTTATTGAGGAGTTAATGCACTTTTTGTGACTACGTATGTTATGTGGAAGTGATTCGACAAGAATATTTAGCATTGAAATTATTTCATTTCACAGGAATCGCAGCTCTGTGCCTCCCTCTGACAATAACCTCTGTTTAGTGACTGTGGGTGTGTTTTTCTGATGTAAGAAACACCAAAGACAACATACAGTACTCAAATATGAAAGAAAAGTAACTAAAAAAACAGTGAAGTCATCAACAGTGATGTGTAACTTCCTGTGGGGTTTTTGTTGCAGTGAAAAGAAATATATTCTGCCCGGAGAGGATTTTTATTTAGCATCTTTATCTTTCAGTTCTAAAAATGAAATGTAATTCTGCAAGTTATCACTAAGAAACGCTGGTCAACTTCCTCTCAGACTAAACGTACTTTTAGGTTTCACACAGTTACACCCGTTAATGGCAAAGAAACTTCAGTAACAGAATAAATTACAGGGAAGTAAACATGACAACAGTTTTTTTTTTTATTTATTTTCTCTGAGCTGAGAACTAAAAGGAACTTCACCTGCTTCCTTTTCTCTCACCCAGCACCAGTCATCCTCTGGCAAAAAATTACAGAAGCAATGCAGCGACTCGTTGCGTTGCAACATTTGAAGCAATGTAACAGCGCAGTTGGGCCACAGCTGAGGTTTCTGCAGAAACACCACAGTGCCTGTTTGTGCATTGTGACATCATCCAAAACTTGATACACAGCAAGAAATACAGATTCTCCCTCTTGAAACAGAAATTCAGGATTCTCTCAGTAATTTATTTATTTACTTATGTTTAATGACAGTGAATGGCAACAGAGAAGTTACTGTTTCAACTATTATTTTAACTTGAA